GTAGTGTTGGTCCTAAGGTGACACTAGGTCTTAGGTTGGGGATTCAAGGGGACCGCACATTTCCGAGTGTGGGGCAGCAGGGTCCGGGGGAGGACAGACAGCCCGCTCCCGGGACTCTGCTGGGCTGGACGGTTGGGAGCTTTGCGTACCTCATGCACTGTGTGCAGCTCGCAGCGGCGGAACCCCGGGAGCGGGAGCCCGAGCCCGCGCCACCTCAGACAGACACCCATTCTGCCTCAAGTCGGTACTTCCATGCTCAGATCACCGCTTCTTCCTCACCAGACTCCTCATTGGCTTCTGAGTCAATACTGTCCCTTCCTATTGGACAAAATACCCGCCACTCTTGTCAGGTACCACCCCCAAGAACTCCACTGAGGTATGTCCCCCTCACAGCAGCGGTTGCTTTGGGAAAGGTTCCGGTTGACCGGAAGGTGGAAGCTATTGCACACACCTGCAGCCCGATGCCCAAAAATGGCAGGAAGAGGTGCAACTTTGAGGGCAAGGGCAGACCTCCTGAAGGAAGGAGTGGAAAAAAACAAAACAGGAGTGGAAGTTAGTCATTTTTCTTTAACCATTTCTTAAACATCCTTAAAGCAGGTGGGAAACAAGAGCATAGAATCTACTGTAAATCCTGGTGTGGCATTAACTAAGTAGTTTTTGGCAAACCGTTTCTGTAATCTCAATTTTCTCATTTATAAAACGAGAATAAAAGTATCCGTTCCAGCTGGGTGGTGATGGCATACTCCTTTAATCCCAGCATGTAGGAGGCCGAGGAAGGCAGATCTCTGAGTTCGAGGCCAGCCTGGTCCAGGGCAGTGAAGAGCTGTTACACAGAGAAACCCCGTCTGGAGGGGGTTAAACAAACAAACAAACAAACAAAAACTATCCGTTCCCATTGTTGAGATGCATCTGATGTAAATAGTTCAAGTCTCAGTGCTTGGTATATGGTAATGAGCATCAGCAGCAAGATGCTGTTAATACCATTGGCTAGAACAACTCTAGTTAGTAAGACTGCTTCTAACTGCCAAGGCATTCCATGGATCCTTCGTAGTCATGGTAGAGGGGCTTTAAGAGACATTTAGAAGTGGATTTTATTTTTTGTCACTATTATGGAGGTGTATGAAGTATCTTTGTGGGTGTGGGCAGCACAGTTGTGGAGGTCAGGAGCCGACTTTCCGTCCTTTCACCTTATGTGGATTCTAGAGATCGAACTTAGGTTGCCAGGCCTTTACTGGTTCCAGATATGGAATTTAAAAATCACAGAAGATAGCTTAAGGTCAAAAGTGCTGATGAATCTAAGGCTTGCAGTCTTCCAGCATACCAAGTCATTTCTATAGTTTACTCCCAACAGACTCCCTGATCACCTTAGAGGCAACTGACTCTGCTCCTTACATAGGCTTTGTTCCTCTCATTACTACTCCAGCCTTCATCTTCCTTTATTCTTTCTTTTATCCTTCTCCATTAACTGTAGGATACAGGTTTGGCTATATTTAATTAGCTTTACACAGTAAAAACAGAATCATGGTCAGATGTGTGGAGAAGCATAAGGGAAAGCGAACTTGTTAGCACCTGTTGAGGTTCAATTAATCCCCTCACCTGGGGGTAGGGACGTTTAGTCCATTTCCAGATTTCGATGGTGATGGAATCAAGGGGTCTCGTGGAAGAGTTGTCAGCAAAAACTGCTTAACCTAGGCTTCCACAGAGGCCCAAAGTTCTGTCTGGAGAGGGCAGTTGACTTGAGTCATACGCCACTCTGGGGCTCCATCTTCTGATATGACATCCTGAAATACAAAGAGAGAGACAAGGCTGTGGGGAGGAAGATATTATGTGTATGTGTGTTCCTATGGTCAGTGCACAGTTAAGTGTTTTAACTAGCATTCAGAAAGAGGAGGCGATGGCAGACCAAGATTTTCTTGTGGCGATGTAGTAGAGGCAGGGTAGTGTCATATGCAGGCAACAAAATGGTAGGTGCTCAATAAATAACCTGAGTTAAATATGTACTGATCACATCCTGACTGGAAATCATAGCTTTTGACACCATTTTAAAATTATTCCAGTGTTCTCCTAGATCAGAGGGATGCCACCCTGTTTGACAGCTCCTTACAACCATCCTTCAACACTGTGTGCAATGTACTTGGCTGATGTTGATTGGTCAGCTACCACATCATCACATATGTAATTTGTGTTGCAGTGGAGGAAGGAATGTTGTGTTATTCCCTCAGCCATTGTAGCAAACCAAAGCAGCTAAGGCCAATGCATTAATTATTGGCTCTTCTAGTGTATGCCTTGGCCCTGGGAGGATTTTTAAGTCTTTAGTCTACCTGGATAACATCTCTAAACTTTTTTTCCCACCCCACTCCTGTCTGAATCCTGAGGTGCAGCACTATTTCATAAGTCCACCTCATTCCTAGAACAACCTGGAGGCAGAGTTCTTACACTCCCTTTAAACCATGGAAAATGATCCCAAGGCCAAGTCCTAGTCTGTCCAAACCCACAGCCTGAGTTGCTCACACTGCCACAATGACTCTCTAAGGCCATATTACTCATAATGGATCGTGCTTGGTAACATGGATTTGCTTCCTTTTCTTTCCTGACTCACATGACTCAGACACTTGTGACCAAAGAGCACTTTTAGTGAAGAGGTACTTTCAAGAAAAAGTCAAGAAATGTGATGTCTCTCAACTTGCCTCTATGGACTAGTTACAGAAAATGAGTGGTCCACAAAAGCACAAGAAAAGTCTGCAATAAAGAATGTTCTAGAACCTTAATCAAATTTTAGGCACTCAGATTTCTTCTACTCTTAGACCAGGCATCCTCAGTTGGCTGAAGTTTGTTAAAGGCAGGTATTATCTTTATAGCTTTAAACAATTTACAACCATCCCCAATGAGTACTCTTCATTTATCAGGATCAGTACATAGCCCTCAAATCCATTTTAGCTCTTGGAAAGCAAATTCTACTTATGGGTACCCAAAATGTAAAAAGTCTTTGCCACTTTTTTTTTTCTGGGGACACGGGGTCTGAGCCTCACAAATGAGAACTCTGCTATTCTTACAGGTCCAGCTCATCAAGCAAGTGCTGGGAAATCAGGTTTAGATAAAGGATTCATTAGTAATGTCTGTGAAGGTCTGACATGGGACCAGTTTTGTACTTTACTAACCTCTATCGCCCTCAACAAGGACTAGCTGCTCATATAGGGCACAGGCTCTACCATATGAAAGGGGAAGGGAACAGATGAATGCCGTCAATGTCCTTTCTTCCCATTCTCACAGATACGCCCCCCCCCAAAAATAGTAGTCATCAGGTTCTTTCTTTTCCACACATCAGTTGACAAAGGACTTCATCATCTTACAAATACAGAAGAATACAATGAGATAAACGAAAATTTTGAGAACCTTTAGTTTGCCATGAACCCAAACAAATCCAGGGTAGACTGGGTTAGCCAACATCCTTTTGAGTCAACCGTGAACAGATGTGGCTTTGGTTTCTCAGTTGGCACTACAGATCTCCTTAGTGCCTCCACCTGCCTAGGTGAAAACAAAGGGACAAGGAAAACAAAACAAATAAAAAAGCAGAGAGGCTGGGATACAGTGTAGTTCTTAGTATGTATGAGGTCCTGAGTTCAATGCCAAGTGCGGGTACTCACTGGAACAGGAAAAAATCCAAACCAAATTCCATCTCAATCCCCATTGCTCCTGGCCCAGGGCCTTTTAAATCCTAAGCAGCGCCTGTACAAATTAGCCTGTAACCCCCAACCCAAAAAAAAAAAAAAAAAAAAAAAAGCCAACTTTGTAACTAAGGAAAGCTTTCTTCTTTTCACAAGTAACTCAGATGTCTAGTTTTATATCACACTTCTTCCTCTCCTTTATGTTCTCCCCTTCAGAACAGGATGTTTGTTTTAGAGACAGCTTCCCGGTGACTGTCTTGAAGCCTTGTCTTTACAGTCTCAGTGAGTTACTCCTCAGCAATTGTGAACAGTAACTGATCAGACTTGTCTATAGTTAGTTACTCATAAGCAAGTATGAGAAACACCCTAATACCCCCAAACTCATTCTGATGATGTTACTAAGTCTACACACAAGAGGAGGTAGCTCATTCCTACTGTGTGTGATTGGACAGAATAAAACAAGCTGCAGGAAGGGAAGAGAAGCCATGTAGTTTTCAATACCATGCCCAGAGGCCAATGAGGAAGTCTAAAAAAGGTTGCTCCTTCAGGGGCAGTGTATTAGGGTGACCAATTGCACTCCTAAGTGGAGACAAGGATGAATAGGTGAGCCAGATTCCAGAATCAGTATAGTGGTACACCCTGGCAGCTGGGTGTGTTCCCTAGACTGCTGCCATTTCTGAGGTCTTATGACACATGGAGCTTCATGAAATTGGGGCTGCTATTCAAAGCCTTCTACCCTGCCAGTGACCTAAGCCTGGCCCAGATGAAGTGACTATCCCTTGAGATCCCTTTAAGGAAACATTCCATTTATTAAGCCTCATTGGGTTATGAAAAAGGATGGAGTAAGAGAGAAGGGCTAAGTATGGTTTCTGCGTGACAGATCAATCATCAATATGTGACGAAGGACAGACACAGTTGACCAGAAGGACCCTTTCACATATATTTCCCCCAATTCTATGCTTGCTTTAAAAACGTTCTCTGAAGACTAGAGATGTGCTTCATTGGTAGGATGCTTGCTTACAACGCACAGACCATGGGTTTTATGCTCAGCACTGCAAGCATAACCACGAAAACAACCTTTTCTCTTGGTTCACAACTGTACAATATTGGGAAAAGACACAAATAATCTATACAATATATCCCACTTCAATAGCAGTCACTCCCTCAGCACCTTGATCTCATCCCACCCATTACAATAATACCGAGGATCAAACCAAACACCCACAAGGCCACGAAGATCCTAGAGGCCCACAGAGACTTCAGTGACCACAAGTGCACAAGGCAACAGAGGACAGCTGGGAAAGTTCAACGTGAGAGGGGAAAGTTAACCACACAACAAAGAAAACCGTATTTTATTAAACTGGAAAACAAAATATCGGAGACAATTTCCCCCCCCCCAAAAAAAAGCTGGGCGAGGTTAAGTGCAAGTGGCTATAAAGAAAACAGACGGTTGGTCTGCGGCACATATGGTATGTGTGGGCACACACACCACTTTCTGTCCTTCCCACACACCCCAGGTGAAAAGCCAGTACAGTGGCATCTTCAGGGCTATCCCCCAGCTTTTCTTTTCTGCATTCTGTAGCCTGTTTCTCCTTTGGCCCTGGACAGTCATGCTGCATCTTCGACGGAGGAAATACAGCATCTCTAACCACAGGTCTGTGCTACAAAGCTGCAGTTTTGGCTTCTGGAGAAGAGAAGTTGTTTCTGTTTGCATTCACCAGAGAAGCCAGGGGCCCTTGTTCAAAGCTCCAGTCTCAAAAGAAAAATATCAAACCTTTAGAACTAGTTATTTTATTAAATGATATTAATACACATTCCAAAAGGATTTCATTGTTGTTGTCTCTAAAGCATGTACTTGTTTTCCACACTGAACACGTGAGAATATCAATCCAACATATCTACTTAAAAAAAAAATCTTAACAGGTAACCCCACCAATTAAAAATATGGAGGTGGGGAGGGGGGAGCAGTAATTTACAGCCGCTTCAAAACCTAACAGCTGAAGCCTAACTGCATCAACAGTAACAACAGGACTGAGTGGATATTCTGCAGTAAGAAAGCTGAGCCTATTCACATTGTCTAGATAGACTTGCCGTACCTTACATATCTGTTGTTTCTGGTATCAGAAACGATAAAGGTCCTCCACTGCTCACAGCACCCTCCAGGGATCAAACCCAGTTCTGTTGACCTCAGTTTTTGAGAGGGCAGAGAGGTGCAGGGAGGAGCTCCCACCTATGCTGACTAGAAAATAAACTCTCAGAAAACCTTTAAGGATCCTATTTCTGGTCTAGCATCACTGAATTCTGTGTGATACTAGCGTCTTCATAGAATTCTTTGTCTGTGGTTTTACAATGAGCACCAAGAACCTTAGTGACAACTACGCATTCTGCTTCATATGACTCATGTCCTTGCTAAGACACACTATATTGTGCATTCTTTAAAAAATATCTTGTTTATTTTTTATTTTTTTTTTTTGAACTCAGGGTGAAATACAAAAGTCAGAGCATGGTACGGAGTTTAAATCACAGACACAGAAAGAATAAAATCCCTTGTTTTTATCTTTATGAATAGCAGAAATGTCTTTTGTTTCACTATATCACATATATACAGTTGTCTTCATTTAGTATTGTAGACAGATTTCCTTAAAATATCCGACAGCATCATACAATTCTCACTTCCACCCTGAAACACACTGAAGATTTTGTGGCAAAAACAAAACAAAAAATACCCCACAAAAACCCAACCCCCATAAAGTCCACTCCTGAACTGGACAAAGTACTCCTGTCATGGATTGGCCACTATGCTTCTATGCTTTTGAGGACAATTATCTTGCTCAACATTCCAGAAACCACTTTCCTTATACTCCCATATTTTCTTAGAAAATTAAATGGTCAGAGAGCCTTTTCAAGTAAACAGTATGTTTAGCTTAAACAAGAGCGGTAGAAATAATTCACATTCTTTTATTCTAGACTGAAAAACAACCCCACTTAATTTCTGGGGGAAAAAAAAAAAAGGATCAATTCTGAAAGTCACAATTCCCTGACCACCCGCCCCCATTCTGTTTGATGCTTTTTTACTAAACAAATGTCTTAAGACTCAATATTTAACTACACTTCCTTTACTTTGCTATGCTATATACCCAATCCCCTTCACAAGCTCATGGTATCAGGCATTTTTGTGGGGAGAACTACAGGGCAGAGAGGCTTGAGAAAGGAAAAAAAAGGGGGAACTGGCTCAAAATGGGAATGTGAATGAGGATGCTGTCTGCTGCACGCTTACACAGACCCAAGATTAGGTTGGACAGCTTTTCTTCTGAAAAGTGGTTTGTTCTGAGATAAAGGACTGCCTTCAACTGTGTGCCCCACTTTCTTCCATCTTTACTCCCCTACTAAGGAATTCAAATACTTCTTTACTTCCTTATGTTCTATCTTAACTTGTTAGAATTCCTTCAAAAGCTCAACACATCATTTTACACACCTACCTGGAGATCATCAGCATTTACCTTGGTGCAAAACACCAACAGAAATTGTAGTAAGCAGTATTTGCTTCCCAGATAAAGATAAAAGCACTCCAAGCACAGTGATTGTCTTTCCCCTAAGTATTAGATGCAGAAACACAAACCTTTAATGCAGGAAAGAAAGCTCTTCCTTCCATAGCAATGACCCAGGCAAAACATCTTATCAGCTGACATGAGGAGGGGTAGGAGGTGGGCACTGAAAAGATCAAGTTGCTATCTCTGAGGGCCAACTTGGCTTCATCAGGACCCCACTTTCTATACAAAGATGGCCAACAATACCCACCTGTCTCTAAGACACACCTACAGAGTAGCATGTAAGGATACCACTCGTCTCCTCTGAAACAGTAAGAACAGGTGAATACAGGACTGAGAAGAGGGAAATGCTAAAGACAAAATATTTCCCTTTCTCTAAAGTTAATGTTTACAGAAAACCACCAGTGAGGCAGGTACCATAGTAAAATAAGTGTCTACTTATACATTTAAGAAGGCAGGGATATTTGACCTACACCTGTTTAACAATATAGTCAGAATTAACAACTGAGGGAGAAAAAGTCAGGGAAAGCAGGGGGCAAGGGCTTAGGACAGATATGTATATGTATTTATATCCAAATGTTTCCTACTTCCTTGCTTACAAATGATCCCGTTCCCTAGCTTTACATACTGTGATCACTGCTAATTTTAATACTGAAATTATATTCAGCTTTTTCATTTAAGGAAGAGACTTTTTTCTTTCTTTTTGGGACAAAGTTCCACTATATAGCTCAAGCTGACCTCAAACTTGCCGTTGTCTTCGCCCTGCCTCCCAGCACTGAGGTTGTGGGTGTGGTGGCACCCAGAAAGAGAAAACTTTCTGTTACATACAATAAAGTTTGTGCTGTCTCAGATTTACTGCTTGGTAATAGTTCAGAAAATGATGCTGAAAAAACAAAAGATAAAGAACTCTGTTTCAACATGCCTTTAGAATAAAGCAAATACACCTGGCAGGCCCAAAACTGCCCACATTTTGTCCTTTTGCAAATACCTCTTGGCCTTCAGCAGGGCAGAGAATTCAGAGAAGGGAGCCAAGCCAGTCACTGGAGTTGCTTAGCTGGAGAGGGAAGGAGACAGGGATCCTCCCACTACTGTTAGCAAGGCCAAGACCCAAATGACACCCCAACATTGCACATACTATTACCTCTACTGACCGAAGTTTTATTTCAAATGTAAGTTATCTGTCCAATAGATGAGATAAAATATTGTTTTCTTCCCCACTCCCGAAACCCCCAGCCAAATGAAATGGCTTTGGTTATGTTTACCTTTTTTTTGTTTGTTTGTTTAAGGAGAAAAAAAAAAAAGAAAAACACAAACAACTTGGGGAAGGTCCTAATCGCAGAGAGGAGGGGGAAATAGTAAATTGTTACCATGTATGTTTTTTGAATTTGGAAGGGAGGCCCTTCGTTAAAAAAAACAAAACAAAACAAAAAAAAAAAAAAACAAAAAATCGAGAGGAAACAAATAAAAACAAGAAACCAAACTGCTACTTCCAATGCTCTCTAGACTGTTCAAAATGCCTTTCCCTGATTTCCATCAGTACCTGGGAGGGAAGAATGGGCGTTTTGGTGCAAAGAACGGAGGGCCTCTAACAAAAGGTGGCCGGGGTCTCTTTAAACTGTGGAATGGATCTCTGCCGAGAAAAGCTTCCCTAGGCCGAAAGTCTGGCCGGGGACTCCGTAAAATCATACCACTCCGGCCGATGGCGTCTCTGTGTGCAGGACCCAAGGGAAGGCCACTGCTGCTGGTGTTGCCTCCCCCACCTCCTCCAAGGGCAGGGCCCAAGTGCTCCAGAGGGTGGGAAGGCAGGCTCAGGCTCTCTCGTGCACGGCTAAGACCAGGGCCATTGAGGTCCCTGGGTCCTGTGAGGACCCCAAAATGCTCAGCCAGGGTCCCTTGAAGGAGGGAACTATGGTCCTTGGGAAAAACTGCCACAGGCCCAGTCACTCCATGCTCTGGCAGTGGTGGAGTTGGGAAAGGTACAACCCCAGAGTGGTCAACAGGGGGAGGAGGAGGGGGGGAGGGGGTGGGGGAGGGAAATGAACTGTGCTGTGCTCTCCTGGAGGAGGTGGTGGGGCGGCATGGGCCAGAGACGCCTCCTTTGGAAAGGGGTTCGAAAGATCCACAGAGGGCAGATGAGTGGGCGCCTCTCGGGAGAAGATACCACCGTGATCCTTAGGAGGAGCTGGTGGGGCAGATGATGGCCCCACTGGCTCTCTCTGAAAGGGTGTCCCGTGTTCCAAGGGGGATGGGGGGAGATGATGCTCAAATGTTGAGTTGAAACTGCTGGAACGAAAGCTGGCGACACTCTCCTGAAACTGGGGCGCCCGCTCCTTGTATGGCGTCGTCTTAAAGCCAGTGAGGCCTCCGCTGCCCCCACCCCCAAGGGATGCCAACTCAGAGGCACTTGAGGGGCCATTGTCAAAAGAGCTGCCTGCTGTGCTCACATCAAACCAACCTACTCTTGAAACCTCCCGCCCATGTCCTCTATTTCCCTTCCCAGGAACTCGTATGGACTCTACTGTCTGTATTGGCTCCCCTGACATCCTCCTGTTGGCTGCATTATGATAACCCAGAGTTTCTATGGGGGCCCCCTTTTCTTCTGTGCTATCAGGCAAGTCTAAACAGGAGGAAGAGACTCGGGTTTCTATGCGATAGTGTTCTTCCTGTTGCTGTTCAGTGGTAGGCAAGCTGGGCTGGGTGAGGTTTGACAGACTGACACCATCACTTGAAGTACCCTTGTTGGGGGTCTGGCCAAAATGCTTATCATCTGAGGGTTTTCGAGAGGCATTTTTAAGCATATTCTTAAACTCAATCGTCGATGTGGTAGAAATGGTGGAGGCCAGGACTTTCTCCATGCCTGAAGTGGGTGGGAGGCCCGTTGGAGCGGCAAGGGTATTCTGCGAAGAGAAAAGGGAACGATGGGGGACTGAGTGAGGAGAGTCTGGGTACTGCTTCTGTGGCAGAGTGAGATGGCCAGTGGTGGACTGAGACAAGCTACTGTGGTTGGAGTCAGGGGTGAAAAACGAATCATTCTTACTCGGTGATGGTGACCGGTCTGACCCAGGTTCATTCCCTCTTATACTGAAGGCACCAAATAGCCCAGGGGGAGATGAGAGATGGTCACAGTTCTCACTAGAGTCTAGGAGTGCCCTTACAGATGGAGGAAAGGCAGACTTTACCCCAAACTCTTGGGCCCTGTGGTTATAACTGGACATGATTGGCTGGTAATCGGCGGTGTCAGAAAGTTTGCTTGACTTCAGGATGGATTTGGCTGGTTTCTTCTCTAGGTTCATCATGGCAGAGGGTGGAGGCCCTGAATATTCAAAATCTCGATAATCCTCATCTTCCTGGAAAGAAGTGTCAGGGAAGAACTTTTCCTGTGAAGAGTCCATCAGGGAAGATGGTCTCTCGACTCCCTCAGGTGGCTGCTTGTAGGAAGCATCACTGGCCAGGCCGAAGGGCCGATATGTAGACACAGAATTGGGGAGCTCTTGGGAGTAGCTTTCATCTCTTCCAGGGGGTGGTGATCTTGTACTGCTTGGTGTTGAGGAACCAGGACTGATGATCTTAGACAGCAGGGACATGGTGTCTACACTGCTGGATGTGGGCTTGTCCATCATCTCATCCTGGGTGGGTGTCCCACTCCGTTCATCCCGAACAGGGGTGCCATCGATGTTGTCAGCTGAAGTGCTAGTAGGACCACGCTGGAAGTCTGAGGAGTGGCTCTCTGATGGGGCACTGGATCCCAAGCTGCTCAGGATTGGGATGTTTAAGTTTAACCCACTGAAACCAGGGTTACCTTTTAAGAAGTTGTGGATCTTCATTTCCAGGCTTGGGGAAGTGGACTCTGATTCCAGCTTTGGCTTGGAGACTTCTGAGGATTGGCACATGGCAACTTCAGTAGGTGGAGCAGCAGGGCTAGTATTGTGGGTACCTGTAAATCCTAAAGAACTGGATGGTAATTTAAAAGTAGTGCTTGGGAGCACTGGGCTTTGCCCAACTGATGCCTTGCTTGCTGAAGTCGAAGAGACTTCAGAAGTTGAAGAATTGGGGGAATAGCCGAAGCTTTTGGAAATAAAAGACTGGGTACTGGAGAGCACATTTCTCCCCTTTATGGCAGAGCTGGTGGTGCTGGCAGGGGAGGCCGTAGAGCTCTGGGATGTAGCTTCACTGGCTGGCACTGGGTTCCCAGTAACACTCTGAAGTAAAGATGACAGGCCTGTAGAAACACAGATTAGAGGGGTTAAAAAGAACAACTACGAACATCAGAACGAAAACAAGGCAGGCTTATTAGATACTATCATTCACTCTGGTGGGAACCAGATAGACTTTAAAATATGAAGTTAAAAGGAATCCAGACTAAACAGGCAGTGACTACATGTCACAGAAAACATCAGGACAATTTATCAATTTAAAACAGTGAAGCATTCAGAGAGTCCCTGAACAATCCAGACACAAGTCCAGTACTAAAAGGTCACAGGAAAGAGGGATTTTGCATGTCAGAATCATTCACAGCTTAGCACAGCATTCTAAGCAGTATCTGTGTCTGAGCTGTGGAGTCGCTCTAAACACAGATGGATGTTCCCACCCTCCCACCCATCACAACTTACTCCAGTGTTACCATGCACTGCTGTTTTCAATAAGAACACATACAAAATTCAGAAATCTGCTTCAACATTTTTTCAACAAGTCTATCTCTTGCAGTTTTACTGTCACTTTTAAAATTATTGTGTGTGTGTATGGTTGTTTTGCCCTCATATCCTCATATATGTCTATGTACACTTGAATGCCTGAGGCCCAAAGAGGCCAGAGAAAGGTATTGAATCCCCTAGAACTGGAGTTACAACACCTATAAACTACGCAGGTGCTAAACATCATCTCTCCAGTCCTGTCTTTTTAAATTTTTTTATTTTTATTATTTTTTTATTTTATGTGCATTGGTGTCAGATCTCATGGAACTGGAGTTACAGATAGCTGTGAGCTGCCCTGTGATTGCTGGGAACTGAACCTGGGTCCTCTGGAAGAGAAGTCAGTGCTCTTAACTGCCGAGTCATTTCTCCAGGCCCAGTCCTGTCTCTTTATGAGGGGCGTAGGGTTCTCATGTAATACAGGCTAGCCTTAAACTCTTAATCCTCTTGACTCCACCTCCTTAACGCCGAGATTTTAAGTGTGTACCATAACACTTAGCTCCCCCCCCCCTTTAAAATTCAAGGTTATTTAATTATTTATTTTTGAGGCACGGTTTCAACTACATAGCTCTGCTATGTAGACCAGGTTGGACTTGAACTCATGGAGCTCTCCCTGCCTCTGCTTTCTGAGTACTGAGATTATAGGCACATGCCACTACAGCCTGGCTCTTTTATTTTTTCTAAATTATTTTTATTTATGTGTATGTGTGTATATTGTGTGAATGTATGCCATATGTGTTCTGGAGCCTGGGGAGGACTGAAGAAGGCATTAAATACTCTGGAGCTGGAGTCACTACCAGATACGAGTGCTGGGAACAAGAGCAAGACATGGTCTTAACTGCTGGGCCACTGTTCCACCCCTCTTTTGGTTTCTTTCCAGTTTTTCTGAGACAGAATGTTGCTATGTAGGCCAGGCTATCCTCAAACTTTCAATCTTTTGTTCTCTTAAAAAATGTAGGGATTACAGGCGTGCATCACACAGACAATGCTTTCAAGACCAATTTTGTTTGTAAAAGACAGCAATGATAAACAGAAAAGCAGGAACCACAAAGTCTTACAAAGCCAGATCAATAGAAGTGCTGCTCTTATTATACAAAAATCCACAATTCCTGTTTTATACCTAGGAAAGCCCAAGAATTATTGATCAGTACAAACTGACAATGATGAGATTCAACCCTGTACACTGACAAACCTCAGAATCATGGAAAAAGAATTCATTGGTTCAGGCTGAAGTTAATGAAATCAAAGTGCTCCTGAAAATAAAAACAAACCCCTGGATCTCCTTATATAACCAGAGTGGGCTCAACCCAATGATATTCTTGTCTGCCAAAATTACAAATGTATTCTGCCATGTCCAGGCAGAAAAGTCTACAAGACAAAAAACTGAAAAGTAACATAAGATCCTCTTAAGCAAGTCATATTTTGTCAAATCTACTTACTTTACAGTCATAAATGAAAATTTCATTTCTTACTAAATCAACCAAAACTATCTTTTGGTAATGAAACACCTAAAGAAAATATTCCTGATACTTCAGTAAGTGCTTCTTCAAAATATCAATTTAAAATCATATTTACTAAGGGATTTCAATTTTTTCAATTCTCCTTGATTTCCATTTTTTATAATTCTGTATGGTCACATGCACAAGTGGACCTATAAGTAGAATCCAGAGGTCAACTTCAGGCATCAGTTCCTCAGGGGCCATCCACCTATTTTTTGAGGCAAGGTCTCTCACTGGGAACTGGGGCTAACTGATCACGTCAGTCAGCTGGACTGCAGGCTCCTTTTGTCCCTGTCTCTCTGGTGCTATGACCACAAGCACATGACACCATGCCTGATTTTAATGTGGGTGCTGGGGATTGAGCTCAGGTCCTCATGCATGCAGACAGCAAAATTACCACCCGAACAAATCCTAAAGTTAATCAAGTAAATGAGCCTCATCATACCATATTCACCTAACACACGTCATTAAACTTCATGGTCACCCTTCTCTCCTACCGTCCTCCCTTTTGCTGGTCACCTTCTTCTCTGCAAACAGTAATTCCATCTGCTTTCATGGCACATTTATTTCACCCCCAACAAAGATCTTTTCTTCACCTCTCATGGATTTCTAGTTTAACATCTACATAGACACAGACACAATTTATTATGCCTTTGAGAGAAAATATGGTTATTTGTCTTTCTGTGTCTGACTTACTCTGCTTAACACAATGATTTCCAGTAACACCCAACTCCCTGCAAATGTTGGTTTTCTTATGGTCTTCATAAAATTAAATTAAATGTGCATATGTACACATTTTATCTATCTGTGGAAGGGTGTTTAGGCTGGTTCCATTTCTTGACTACTAAAAGTAAAGCAAAATTAACTAGGACACAGAAGAATCTCTATGGTGTGTTCATTTCAGTTCAGATGTAGACCCAGGAACTATCATATCTGAATTCAATTTTCAGACAGGAAAGTTCATTCTGGCTTCCATGGTGGCTGTGCCAGTTTACAAACCTACAGGCCTGGACATAAATTTTACTATTATTATTGTTTTTGCTTTCAATGAACTAAGAGAGTGCTCTACACTAAGCTACACTCCTGGCTCAAGTCTGTCTTTTGGAGGCACTCTTGCATCATACCCCAGGATGCAGTAGCACTTGCTCCTTAGCCTCCACTGGCATAAATTGTGATCCTTCTGCCACTGCCGCCCAGGTAGGGGTCACATGCACTGTGCCTGCCCTTTGTTTATGTACTCTTTTGTTTTTCAAGACTGGATGTTCTAGAACTCACTATATAGACCAGACTGGCCTCAGACTCACAGAGATCCACCTACCTATACCTCCCAGGTGCTGGGACTAAAGGCATTCGGCACCACAGCCCATTATTTATTTATTTTGTTTTCTCAAATAGGCATTTGCTACACAGCCCAGGCTAGCCTTGAACCCATGGCAATCCTGCTCAAATGCTGGGATTACAGATGTGAAGTGTTATGATTTTTTAAAAAAAGAGATTCAATATCATCTTTCAGATAATGTGGACATGTTCTTCCACAGACCAGTGTTTTGCAGGTAAGGCACTTGATGCCAGGCCTGATGACTTGAGTTGGATTTTCAGCACTCAACATTGTAAAAGTAGAGAACCAATTTCCACAAGTTGTCCTTTGATCTCCATAAGAAGTGAAGCTCATATATCCCCATAAATAAATAAAAATGTAGATATTAGATTTTTGTAATATGTAAAATTCTTTTTTGTCACTTAACTACATTTCTTTCATCTCAACACGCCGTGAAATCTTTCTTTTGAAAATTTGTCAACAGGATTATGGATGACAAAAACAGAATAAAGTTCTAAGAAGTTTCTTTCCTTCCTCCTTTCCTTCTTTCTCTTTTTTATTCCGAGACAGGGTTTCTGAACTCAGAGAGACACACCTGCCTCTGCCTCCTGAGTGCTGCGATTAAAGGTGTAAAAAAAATTGTACTCTGTGGGCAGTGGCGTCACATGCCTTTAATCCCAGCACCCAGGTAGGAGGATAGCCTGATTTGCAGAGCAGACAGGACCTAAAACACAGTGATGCATCTATGTGGAAAACTAGTATGAGTGATTTAAAAATTTTTACTGTATCTGCAGCATAGCAGTAGAAAGGGAGAACTCAAAAGCACTGTAATCTCACTTGAGCTACTGTTGTAGATTATCAAACTTTTTCTGTGCTTAAAAAAAAAAAATCTCCGGGCATTGGTGGCACACATCTTTAATCCCAGCACTTGTGAGGCAAAAGGCAGGTGGATCTCTGTGAGTTTGAGGCGAGTCTGGTCTACAGAGCAAGTGCCAGGACAGTCTCCAAACCCACAGAGAAACCCTGTCTCAAAAAAACAAAAATCAAAAACCAACTAAACAAACAAAAAAATCAGCATAGGGCTGGAGGGATGGTTTAGAGGTTGAGAGCACTGGCTGCTACTCTTCCAGAGGTCCCAGGTTCAATTACAGCACCCAAATGGCAGTTCACAATTGACTGTAACTCCAGTTCTAGGGGACCCCACACCCTCACACACACATACATGCAGGCAAAACACCAATGCACATAAAATAAAAATAAATTACAACCAACACACAAAAAACAAAAACAGAATCGCATCATTTAGTGGCTGGAGAGTATTCTATGCATTATAGGATATTTAACAACATCTGTTTGACCAGGAGTTACAATGCTGACACTATTCTGGACTTTGTAATTAACTGCATAATTCTGAGATGCTTAAGAAGGGCTGTGTAGGTACCTGGAAAGTAAGAATTGAAAGATCAGGGTTGATTCATGAAAAACTGAAGCAGTTTTATGTACAAGACATAACTGGGAAAGGCAAAAAGAGAAGTTTAAATGAGGCAGCAATAAGAGAAGAAAAAAAAAAAAGGATGTATTATAGGTCAACATTAGACATCAATACACACCATGAGGTGGTGGCGAATTCCTTTAACCCCAGCACTAGGGAGGCAGAGGCAAGTGAGCAAGGCCACCCTGGTTTACAGAGTGAGTTCGAGGACAGCCAGGACTACACAGAGAAACCCTGTCTTGAACTCTTGAACACACCCCACCCCCCCCACCCCCGGCAAACAGGCTCGAGGGCCCGCGCACGCGCGCGCGCACACACACACACACACACACACACACACACACAAAACAAAAACAAAAAACCAAAAAACTTAACACACACTAACCTATACTAAGAGCTAGGATTAATTGTAACCCCCAGTGGTGCCATGGTACAGATCAGAGTATTAAATAATCATGAAATCTGGTTTTTAGTTTCAGCTCATCACAGATCAGATAGACTTGTGACCTTAACCAACCATATCACCTCAATGAGCCTAGTTTTCTTACCTGAATGGGAGCATAATAGACTAGATAATATTTAGTCTGTTCTAGTGTTGGCATTTTCAATTCTGTAAATGCTACCTCATAAGTGATAACTAAAGAGGCACTGATAAATTAACTATATTGTACATTTCATGGCTTTGGATGCCTGAGAACTAGAATCCACGGCCACACTGGAGGCAAACATTCACTATTCATGTCCCTCTGGCACATGTCAGTTTACCTTGAAGTGCAGGGGCTGACTGTGTCTGCGTTTTAGAAAGAGCAGAGAGAATGCTCTCAGGGGTGATCTCCACCTTTGAGAGGATATTTGCCAGAGGGTTGTGAGGTGTTGTTGTGGCAGGTGTAGGTGTTTTCAGGCCACTGGAGAGGTTGCTGGGACTGGTAGGCGTTCCTGGAGAAGGTCTTGATGCAGAACTGACACCTGGTGGCAGAAAGATGAACTCAAGAAAGTGCAAAACTCAATCCATGACGCTTTCCAAACTCAATGAATGAGTGTTTAATAGTAATTCTTGTGACTGATCTACACAGATAGTGCCCATTTTGACGCATACAAAGAAGAGCATCTGAAAATATGACTGTTCTATTAGGAATATTCTTAAAACAAACAAACAAACAAACAAACACATACTGGTTTCTGGAGCAGCAAACAGGCAACCTACTTCTATCCCAATGGTATGACTAGGTGTGTGGTGGGGTATGGTGGTCGAGTGTGGGGGTCAGGAACCAGGGCCTTGGGTTGGGGGTAGTTTTGATCAGAGGCACTACCACTGCGGAACACTGTCAGTACAAGTCTATGTTATTGACAAGAGTTTTTCTTCTGAAACAGCCTTTAAAATGACATTATACAAACAAACTCCTTTACACTTTTACACTTCAAAACATTGGGTTGTTATTAACACAGTAAAAAGGTAAATGCAGACAGGACAAAAACATTTAGATTTCTTACAAAATGACAAAAACCATTATGAGCAGGTGTTTTACAAAGAAATATAAATAAGCAAATGGAAAAAAAGCCTTTAATTAAAAGAATAGATATTATCTTTTCAAGACTGATTGTGACAATGGGAAGGATTAGGAACAATTAAATTTCCAAATACTAGATATATAAAACAGTATACTCTCTTAGATAACAATTTAGTTCTAACACATGAAAATACTTCCAGTTGTGCAGTGGTGGCATACACCTTTAGTCCCAGCACTCTGTGGGCAGATCTCTGAGTTCAACACCAGCCTGGTCTATAGAATGAGTTCCAGGACAGCCAAGGCTACAGAGAGAAACCCTGTCTCAGAAACAAAAACAAAAACCAACCAAACACACACAGAAATAGGGTCTCACAATATAACTAAGGCTGGCCTAGAATTCTCAATGCTCCTGCTTGGTTTCCTGAGTGTCAGTGTACCGTCTAGGTCACATGCTAATCACCCCACCCCCCAAATAATAAAGTAGGCAGTGTTCAGATGAAAATAGTATTTGTAGGCCGGGCATTGGTGGCACACCCCTTTAATCCCAACACTCGGGAGGCAGAGGCAGGCGGATCTCTGTGAGTTCAAGACCAGCCTGGCCTCCAGAGCAAGTGCCAGGGCAGCCTCCAAAGCGACACAGAGAAACCCTGTCTCGGAAAACAAAAAACAACAAACAAAAAAGAAAGAAACTAGTATTTATTTACCTATCTTTCTGCAGCTGTGTTATACATATTCACATATTCTTTCTTGCTTTTTTTTAAAGATTTATTTATTAATTATGCGTATAGCATTCCGCATCTATGTATGCCTACACACCAGAAGAGGGCGCCAGATCTCAGTATAGATGGCTGTGAGCCACCATGTGGTGGTTGGGACTTGAACTCAGGCCCTCTGAAAGAACAGTCAGTGCTCTTAACCTCTGAGCCATCTCTCCAGCCAGTACATATACTTTCATTGTTGTTGCTGCTAATGTGTGGATAATGGAGGAGCATGTGGAGATCAAATGACAATTTTGTGGAATCATATCTCTCCAGCCACCTTTATAAGATACTGAGAATTGAATGTAGGGCTCATCAGGTTTGCACAGCAAGGACCTCAGTATTCTTTATAAAGCAAAAAGCAGAAAACATGGTAATGTCTAATAACAAGGATTATCCTACATTATAAGTTATTAAAGTTGACGTAAATGAATTTTAATTTCTCGCGCGCGCGCGCGTGCGTGTGTGTGTTTGTGTGTAGACCAAGTGACACTGGGTGTCTTCTTCTGTGACTATCTAATTTTGGAAGATGGTGTCAATCGTTGAATCTGGGGCTTGAAGTTTCTTCTAGACTGATTGCCAACTCCCCAATATCGACTTGTCTCCACTCACTCCAAATGGGGCTATAGGCACACGTGGCTAAGTCAAGTGTTTATGTGGGTGCTAGTGATCTGAACTCAGATACTCATACTTATGCATCAGGTACTTCACTCAATGAACCATTTCCCTACCCACTTTCATCTTTTTTTTTTTTTTTTTTCCCCCCAGAAAGGGTCTCATGTAGGCCAGGCTATCCTTGAACTCCTGATTCTCCTGCCCCTTCTTCCAAATGCTGAGAGTATAGGTGGGCACCATCACAACCAGCTGTTTAGATGAGTATGTAATAACATAAAAATGTGCGATATATACTTAAGTTTTTAAATAAGCGGGCTGAAAAATAACATATAAAGTGTTTATTTTTTCTTAGGTTTTTGAAACAGGGTTTCTCTGTATAGCTTTGGAGCCTATCCTGGAACTCACTCTGTAGACCAGGCTGTCCTAGAACTCACAGAGATCCACCTGCCTCTGCCTCCCAAGTGCTGGGTTTAAGGATATACGCCACTGCTGCCCAGCCAATGTTTCGATTACTAAAAGAAGTATTACAAATATCTAATCCATCAAATCAGCACCCATTCATATGTATGGGTGGTTTGCTTTGGTGTATTAAGATTACTTTTGAGCTTTTATATGTCTATCCATTTGTTTATGGTCTGGTTTTTTTTTTTTTTTTTTGGTTTTTGAGACAGGGTTTCTCTGTGTAGCTTTGTAGACCAGGCTGGCCTAGAACTCACAGAGATCTGCCTGCATCTGCTGGGACTAAAGGCATGTGCCACCACTGCCCAGCCCTGTTTATGTATCTTCAATGAAAAAAATTTAAAGAAATTTCACCACCACCACCAACAAAACACCTTGATGGTTCAATTAACCCAAAGACAAAAATCCATGTTTTACTGTCCTCACTGGGATCACTTACCCGTGTTCTTCATGACTGATGTTAAGCTGCTAAGGATGGAACTGATTTTTGCCAGATCCACATTTGCCAAGTTTGGTAAAACCAAAGCTGGGGAAGGGGACAGAAGAGAAGTGTTCATGGGCTTTGGAAGAGGTGGAGTTGCTGTCGTGGGCACAGGTGCTGGGGCACACGGTGAGGCCTTTGAGACACTTTCTGTTGACTTTGTGGGTACAGAAGTGGAGACAGCTGGTTTTTCCAGAGGTTTTTCTTTCCTGTCCTCCACTGTTTGAGAAAACAAAAGAGCATTCTTTCATAAGATAGAGATACACAGATTAATAGCTATGGGTTAAGGCAAGAAGTGGTGGCACATCCCTTAGGCCCAGCGCTTTGGGAGGCAGAGGCAGGTGGAGTTTGAGGCCAGCCTCGTCTACAAAGTTACACAGAGAAACCCTGACTGGGGGAGGGGAGGGATTATGGGTTAATAATTAAGAAACAGCTAGCCAATAAGAAGCCTGAGCTGCCAGCCAATCAGTTTATAATTAATATAAGCCTCTGTGTGTTTATTTGGGACTAAAGTACTGGCGGGACAAAAACTTCTGTTCACAAAAAAATCTTTAAAGTAATAAATTCTTGGAATATATTTTGTTTATTTCAATATATCCATTTTTTGTTTTGTTTGTTTAAGACAGGTTTTCTCTGTGTAACAGCTCTGGCTGTCCTGAAACTCACTCTATAGACCAGCCTGCCATTGAACTAGCAGTGATCCACCTACCTCAGCCTCCTGAATGCTGGAATTAAAGGCTTGCACTACCACCACCTGGCTTATAGCCAAAGTATTTTTATTTCAGTAAGGTATAAAAATAATTTATGAACACTGAGCATACAGCTCAGAGCTAAGTCCTTGTGAAAAGCTCTGGGTTTGATCTCCACTACCATGGAATAGAAAGCCTGATTAATTAGCAGGAAAGCAAAGTCAACACCGAATAAGCTACTTAATAACCATATCAGGACTTACCAATGATTTTTGATCCATCATCTTCCACATCTGAGAGTTCCATGTCTTCCACATCACGGTTATCTGTCACAGGCTCAGGTGTAGCAGACTTGTCACTCTCCATGGTTGGTGACTGGGATTCCTCACCTCCCATTCCCTGAAATGGAGACTCAGAACCAGTTGGGGAAGGAGCATCCATACTTGGAGAAGGGACTGGTGATTCCTCAGGGTCAGGAAGGGTTGACTTCAATTGATCCAACTTCTTCTTTAAGTTGTTAACTCGGTTAGCGAAGGTTTTATAAGCCTAAAAGAGAAAAAAGAAGAGCTTATTTCTCAGAGAAAAGGAACTCCCAAGCACTATTTTTTTTGTGTGTGTGTTTGTTTTTGTTTTTCGAGACAGGGTTTCTCTGTGTAGCTTTGGAGCCTATCCTGGCACTAGCTCTGGAGACCAGGCTGGCCTCGAACTCACAGAGATCCGCCTGCCTCTGCCTCTGGGATTAAAGGCGTGCGCCACCAACACCAGGCTCCCAAGAACTATTTTGACTATGATCAGATTTCCTCATTATTATTAAAAACAACTAGCACAAGAGTATCACCATCTGCTGAGCCAGAGTAGTCTGGGTATCCTCCTTGTGTTCAGTGAACATTACAACCCCACAGTCGTCTGAGTGAGAAATCTTTTAAAACTTTCTTTCATTATCATTGTGTATGTGTGTGTACAATGGATACAGATGGGCAGGCCATGGTGTGTATGTTTAGATCACAGAAAAGCTATATGAAGTGAGCTATTGCCTTCCATCTTTATGCAGGTTCCAGGGATCAACTCAGGTCTCAAAAGGCTTGTCTACACAGTGCCTTTACTTGCTGAACCTTTGCCCAATCAGTTAGAAATGCTCGATCAGTCACATTCATGAACCAGTACAGTGATTATTTACTAAAGTGTTTACTTTAGTCAGATTTCCTCTTTTTAGCCCATTATTCCTTTTCTAAGTGAGTATTGTATTCAAGATCCCACAGAAGTTATGTTTTCCTGGATTCCTCTTGTTTGTATTAATTTGTTTGAATTTCTTTGTTTCTTCTGACCTTTGTGTATATTTACCCTAACAATTCTGATGAGTCCTGTTAAGGTCAATTAATTTCATCTAGTAAAAGCGGTCAAAAGTTTTTAGGAAGAGGACCAGAGTTGTCATCCTAACATACTCATCAGTTCACCACTGTTAATGTTAATGCCAATAACTTGGTATAAATCCAAGTATGTCTCTCCTTTTCCTTATTATTTTACTGTGTGTATACATGTGTGTGAATAAAACATGCAACACGACATGCAACTTTTGGAAATTGGCTCTTTTCTACTAACCCAAGTGTTCTGGGGATCAAACTCAGGCCATCAGGCTTGGCAGCAAGTGCCTTTATCTGCAGAGCCATCTCAATGCCCGCCCCCCTTTATCCCTTGATTATCTTAATTGCAAAAATCTTAAAGCTGGGTACTTTAAAATATTATTTTGTGCTGGGTGGTGGCGAACACGTTTAATCCCTGCACCCGGGCGGCAGAGGCAGGTGGATCTTGTGAGTTCAAGGCCAGCCTGGTTTACAGAGTGAGTTCCAGGACAGCCAGAACTGTTTCACAGAGAAACCCTTGCTCAAAAAACCAAAAATAAGTGTGTGTGTGTGTGTGTGTGTGTGTGTGTGTGTGTGTGTACATGTTGGAGAGCATGTGCAGAAGTCAGAGAAAAAATTGTGGGAGTTTGTTCTTTCCTTCCACTGTTTAGGTCCCAGAGCTCAAACTCAGATCTTTAGGCTTGGTGGCAGGTGCCTCTACAAACTGAGTCATTTTCCCCTGCCTCCTTTTGCTTTGAGTGTTGAACCATCATCACATTATAGGTATTACTTTATTGTGGCTAGAGTATAAACAGAAGGAGAAATGAGGGAGCAAGAAAGCAAGAGAACAAGGAGAGAAGCACTTAAGGGGTCAGGCACCCAGCCAGCCATGAAGTAGGAAGGAAAGTAAGATATACAGAAGAAAGAAAGATAAAAGCCCAGAGGGAAAAGGTAGACGGGGATAATTTTAGATAAGAAAGCTAGACATTCATAACGAAAACTAAGCCTCTGTGTGTGACTTATTTGGGAGCTGGGTGGTGGGCACCCCAAAAAGCCAAAAGACCAAAAATAACACACTATAACAAACAAACTAGGGGGAAGGGAAAGACCCCTCAAAAGCAAAACCAAAAAAGGCCCCACCAAAATAAAAAGAAAGATAAAACCCAGAAGTAGGGGACAAGTCTCCGGTACAATGTTTGCTGTGTGAGCCTTAGTACCAGGGTTCAGAAACCCAATACATACTTAAAGATTGGTGTGATGCCTGTAACACAGTGCTTGGGTGGGGGTTTGTCCAGCCAAAACAGGAAGACCCCCCCACCCCAAGGACTTACTGGCTAGCCAGTCTAGCTGAAACAGTAAGACTCAGGGTTAGTGAGACAACCTGCCTCAAATAAAGAGGAGGGCAGCAGAAAAGCCTTCATGATACATAAAACAGACTGCTTTTGTAGAGGACCCGGGTTTACCCATAACCTACAACATGCACATGGTCCACAGACAGACATGTAGGCAAAACACATAAACCTGAAGTCAACAACCTTGGGCCACCATATGGAAAGTGTTGGAGCATCCAAAATCTAAGTGAGGAATACTAGTAGGAAGGCCATGAGGAAAGCTAAGCTCTCATGTTAGTAGTGCCCCTTGCTCTGATGCTCTGATTTTGGGAAACAGTGTAAAAGGTTGAATATCCAGGCAAAAGGACACAAAGTGAAGGTACACAAAGCTGTAAAACATTTAACAGTCTTTTTAGCATAGGAAAACAAAAACTGGACACACAAAAGATAACTACTTTGACAAAGGAAGGATGAAATTGGCTCACACTTTAATTTTGTTCTCCTCCATGGTATTTTCTGAGGGCCTGGGAAGCTCAGTAGATGAAGGCGCTTGCTGCCAAACCTGACAACTAAAGCTTGCTTCCTGGAGTGCACAGGTAGAAGAGAACCGACTCCCAAAAGTGGTCTTCTGATGTCTACGCATGTGTCTGTCCATCAGCTCCCCCACCACATCACACCCAATTAAGAATAATGTTTTGTTTTTTCTTGGGGGGGGGGTGTTGTTTGTTTTTCAAGACAAGGTTTCTCTGTGGAGCCCTGGCTGTCTTGGAACTCACTCTGTAGACCAGGCTGCCTCTCGGCCTCCCAGTGTTGGAATTATAAAGGTGTGAGCTACCACTGCTCAGCTTTTCACACATACTCCCCCCTCTCTATACGTACGTATACATGCACATATATAATTTATATTATATGTATTTTGAATAAAAAATATACATGTTTCATTAAATAATATATAAATTATACACATTAATTTTGGGGTTAGGCATATGGGTGTGCATATGCCACAGTACACATATAGAAGTCAGAGGAAAATTTGTGGGAAAGCTGGTTTCCCCCTATCACGGTAGTTCCAGGGACTGAATGCAGTTCATCAGGTTTGGCAACAAGTGCCTTTGCCCTCTAAGCCATCTCACCAGCTCCCAAACTATTATATTCTATGTACAGAGTCATATTATGTTTTCACCTAGTCTTAGTTTTCATTTATAATATCGTGAACTTCTAAAAAAGACGAAAAGAAACAAAGAGGAAAAAGAAACATCAAGGCATGATAAGCAAACAATCAAAATCGGAGGAATTGTTACCATGAGTTACTATAGTAACCAGGCACGTCCAGAGGTTGGAGGAAATCACCTCATGTTAGATGAAGCCGAAACCTTTAATTAAAACATTCTAGGAAATGACTCCAGGCTGTTCTTAAGGTCTATCCCCTATGGGAATAAAGTCCCCATTTGTGTCTTCTGTTGACCACTTGCATGTTAAAATTACGAGGGTACCGCTAGTCATTCAGTGTAAAAAAAAAAAAAAAAAAAAAAAAAAAAAATGTGTATAGCCTGGTGGTGGTGTATGCCTTTAATTCCAGCACTCAGGAGGCAGAGACAGGCAGATCTCTGAGTTCCAGGCCAGTCTGGTCTGAAGAGGAAGTTCCAGGACAGGTTCCAAAGCTATACAAAAAAAACCTGACTCAAAACAAACAAACAAACAAACCCTTTAATAGTCCAAATGTATAGGGCACTATAGAAAGAATATAAATATCACACACACACAAAAGGAAAAATGGGAGAAAATGAAATACTAATGCACAATGGTTAGACTGTTCATGAGTGTCTGAAGGACCCCTGTCTTAATCCAATCAACACCACTTTTTACCAGCTATGTCTTGAATAAGGACACTAACTATTCAAGAGTAATTTCCTCATCCATGTCTAACGTCTAATGCTCCTCAGTGTTAGCCACCCTATGTAAACAGTGTCTGACACACACAGTAAGCATTCAATATAAAATAGCTGCAATTACTTACATTGGCCACCACTTTCACTTCCTTGTACTGTGCTTCATAGAAAATTCCGGCGTTTTCCAGTGCTTCTGTTAGTGAGGGCCCATGTCTCACCTGCTTATCTAAGCCATTCACAAACTCCTCTAGCTTTGAACTTGCCTCTTCAAACTCTTTGGAGAACTTCTTTCCCCCTGTTTTATCTAAAAGAATGGAGAAAGTATTTATTTCAAAATTAGAAAAGTAAAAACATTAATCTTAGCTAGATGGTGGAGGTGCACGGCCTTTAATCCCAGCACTCAGGAGGTAGAGGCAGGCAGATCTCTGTGACTGGTCTACAGAGAGTGAGTTCCAAGACAGCCAGGGCTACACAAATAAACCCTGTCTGGTAAAACAAAAAATCCAAACATTTATTTTTAAATTTTATGTGTATGGGCAAGTGTTTACATGTATGTACACTACATGTATGCCCTTGGATGCTCTGGAACTGGAATTACAGTTCAATGGTGATGAGTCACCCAGCATAACTGCTGGGAACTAAATCTAGGTCCTCTGGAAAGACAAGTGCTCTTAACCATGAACCACCTCTCTAGCCCCATTGGTTACTTCTTTTAGCTATACGCCTCCTTAGGAATATCAGAAATATGCTCCAATCTTCTTTTTTTTTGGGGGGGGGAGGGCGGCGAAACAGGGTTTCTCTGTAGCTTTAGAGGCTGTACCGTAAAGTAGCTCTTGTAGAGCAGGCTGGTCTCAAACTCACAGAGATCCACTTGCCTCTGCCTCCTGAGTGCTGGGATTGAAGGCATGGGCCACCACCGCCCGGCTAAACTCCATTCTTTTTACTTGTATCTACTTTCTGTAGTGCAGAAGGTTCTAACATATGTCTCTTCATGAGAAACTAAGGTTCAGAGAAGTCAAGTTATGGGCATTCACTCTGTCTTTGCCTTTCATCAGCTACACAACTTAAGCTACTAATCTCTTCATGGGGGTCTCAGCTTTTTTATAGGACACGTCCAGATTATAACTGGGATTAAATTAGATGGCGTATGTTCAAGTTGAAGTATGGTACAGTGGACAAGGCTGAATTCCATGGATAATATTCAAGTCACTCCAATCAGTAAGTGCATTCATTATCACTTACTCTATTCTGCCAAGACTTTTTGTTCTTACTCAATGGATACACCCTTAGAAACATTACAGAAGAAAAGCCCAGGCATCCTCATCTTTGGTGACTACATGCACATTAGCAAATTTATGTCACTGTTGTAAAACATGAGCAGAGGCTAGAAGCACCATCTAGGTTGCTGTAAGCTGGGTAAAAAACAGTGTGTCCTGCTTTCATTCTTTTCCCTATCATGGTTTAAGCACAAAGCACTGTAGAAGGCAGATGTTAGGGTTAGCTACAAGAGTATGGCTGGTTTTGTTTTAGGGGGAAAGTAGTCTTGTTCTAATTTATGGTCAACTTCCTTTCCCCTTCTTTATAGGCCCTAGCTGCAGTGGATAAACACAGCCACCCAGTTGTTTAGACTATGTTCTCTAGCCTAGTCTAACTTAATGTAAACAATGTAGGTGACAAGCTTGATTGTTAGAACCAAAATGGGAATATTAAACACCACTGCCTCTCACTAATAGCGTTATGGCTTTACTATCAAATGTAGATTTACCTCTTGGGGGGAGCGACTTATGACTATTTTGTATGGCTTATCTGGAAACTTCTCTAGATCTTATGTTCTATGACTTTAATCCCAGCACACCAGATGCAGAAACAGAGACAGGCAAGTCTCTGAGTTCGAGACCAGCCTGGTCTACAGAGTGAGTTCCAGGACAGCCAGAATTACACAGAGAAACACTGCCTCGAAAAAAAATCAAAAAGCAAACAACCAAAAAATCTTATGTTCTAGTAAAATATTGTTATTCTATGAATAATTAAATAAAGCATAATACAGAAGCAAAACAGACACAAAAAAGAACAGCTAATTGTCATTTATTCACTATTTTAAAGATATACATCAAATGCCCATAAATGTGTATATTTGTTCAAGCATTAGAGTATAGAAATAGTCAAGTAAAATATAATCTCTAATTGAAGCAGGCTTATCTTCTAATAAATTATGAGTATAATTATATACAATTCATACTATAAAAAAGGAGAGGAATTGACTAGATTTTACAAGAGAATAGATTAACCTTACTAAAGAATATACTCAAACCAATTAACCACAAAGGGGTAGCAAATTTGTTTATACATAGCAAGAAAGTGAAAAGAGTAAGAATTTATATACAAAGCCAGGTGTGGTGCACAGGAGGCAGAGGAAGATAGAATTTTTAGTTCAAGCCTGGTATACAGAGTAAAACCCTATAACAACTCCCTGACTCCAAAATGAAAAAATGGGCTAGAAAGATGGGCTAAGAGCACTTGCTGCTCTTGCAAAGGGCCTGGGTTCTGTTTCTAGCATTCCATGGGGCTTACAACAATCCTTAACTCCAGTCCAGGGGATCCAATGCCCTCTTTTAGCCTCTATAGGCCCCAGGCACAGATGCCATGCACATATAGACATTCCGGCAAAATACTAATAAAGTAAAATAAATAAATCTTAATCCCCCTGTCCCCCCCTAAAAATCCACAAAACCTATCCCCCTCAGGGGAATTTATTTGTTTTTGAAGTTTATACAAATCAAACTGCTACCTCAATGGAACATAACTGCTTCTGAAAATGCTTTACCTGAAGGGGTTGGGGAAACCCTCCCAACTTCTCTTTAAATACTCAGCTGGTGATCCCACCCAGAACCATGGCTGAAGTTCTTTTCATGGCACACACCAGTCTGAGTATCTAAAAATCAAAGATCTAGAAAGAAAACTAAGCTAATGGGGTGGGGGTGAGGGGTTACAAGACAGGGTTTCTCTGGGTAGTCCTGGAACTCACACTGTGTAGACCAGGCTGGCCTTGAACCACAAAGATTCAACTACCTCTGCCTCCTGAGTGCTGGGATCAAAGGTGTGCACCACCTGGCTACTTTGAGCTACTTTATTTAAAAGGATGTGTTTGTTACCTTTTAAACACTTCAGAGTTTCTGTGCTGCAAACATCCACTCTCATAGTTGACAACTGTTTCTCCTTCAATTCTATCTGATCTTCTGAGCGTTTGTACATCAATAATTCTTCAATGAGGGCCTGAGACTGAACACAGAGCACAATCAATTTTCATTCATAAGATCAAATATTCTCTCCCCTAGATATGTAAGACTAATAACTAGCAAAGCCCTAAGAGGAAAAAAACAATTTTCTTTTACATTTACTCAGACCAACAAAAAGCAATGTTCAATTCATGCCAAAATTATATTCTGAGTTACACACTTATTTTAAAACTTACTGTTAGGTTTTTTTTTTTTTTTTTTTTTTTTTTTTTTTTTTTTTGCCGGGGGCGGGGTTGCTGGGTGGCTTGGGAGGCTATCCTGGAACTAGCTCTTGTAGACCAGGCTGGTCTCGAACTCACATAGACCCGCCTGCCTCTGCCTCCCGAGTGCTGGGATTAAAGGCGTGCGCCACCAACGCCCGGTTTACTGTTAGGTTTTTTAAGACAGAATCTTACTATGTAGCCCTTGCTCCAAAGCCCTTGCTCCAAAGGCTGGCCTCAAATTTGTCCTTGCCTCCTGAGTGCTAGGATTAGCCTTCACAATCACAACCAGCAAGTTATAAAAACAAAACAAAAACCCTTTTATTCAAATTACCAATGTTCTTAACTTCTGATTTATTTTTATCATCTGTACATGTGTGTAGGTACATAGCATGAGCACGTGTAAAGGTCAGAGGCTAACTCCTGCAGAAGTCAGCACTCTCAATTCATCATGTGGATTTCAGGAATCATACTCCTGGTGGCTGTCTCCCCAGTCCCTATTATTCAATTTAATTTACAGATATGGGGTTAACACTGAAAAGAAAAGCCGCTTACAACATCTTTAAATTTAATTAGGTCTATAGTCTTGTGCTGTTCTAAGAAAATTTTAATTTAGTAGCACTAAATTTAAAAAAGAAGGCTCCCTAGTAACATGAACTAAGCAGAGAACTCAGCTGGCAACAGATGTTATAGAATGTTATTTCTCCACTAGGGAAACACACAGAATTCAAATGTAATCCTATTCCTAATCCTATTCTGGATTCCCCATGTACACATGAGCAAAAATAAATATGACTGGGAATTGTGGTTTGCAAGGTAAATAAATGGTCTTTGGTATACTTAACAAATTCTGGAACTTACCCGAAACTCAGCAACTATCTTGGATTTGAGAGCAGCTTTTGGATTCGTAGATGCTGTTGAATGAAAAAGAAAATCATTAATAATACAGCACAAAGACTTGACCAAATCCAGGATTCTGAGATGTAGATTTAAGGGTGTACTCTGCAAACATACAGCAGCCATGCACACATAAATCATAATATAATCCACAGTAAAATAATTGACTATGAAATTTAAGTACTCCTAAATATGGCCAACAGAAAAATAAACTATTTAGACAAGTCTAACAACTTACCTCCAACAGACTTGTTAAGTCCCAGAATTCATGATTTGGAGACACCGAGGTAGGTACATGAAGCACCTCCTTCTCCTAGTCTCATCAAATATAAGAAAATCTCAGTATTTCAATGTAAGAGTGTCCAGGAACAAAATATCCAATTAATCCTGAGCACTGGCCGAAGAAAATTATTATCAACTCCAATCTGGTTAAGTTTGGATTTTATTTATTTATTTATTAGCTGACTCAGTTCATGGCAACAAAAGGCTAAATGAATTATCACTGCAATTGAACTTTGGCCAAACTGATGGCTCCGTTGTTCCTAAGCATGCAATGAATGACCAAAAGGATGCCAGAGGATTCCCTTAACCATGATGAGTATCAGATGCTTGATGGAGCAAAACATCCCAACTCTCTTGTTTCACCTCCCAATTCTCCACTGTCCTTGACCTTGTTCCCTCCAAACCTTCCAGTCTCTCGACATTCCTCAGTTTGCCCACAACAGTCTAAACATGCAGCATTCCACTCCCTTGGTATCATGCTGGGTAAATACGACAAAACACACCAGGAGCTCCAGATAGAGAATGAGTTTCTGGCCAAAATTGGAGGCCCATGTCTAATCTGGTAGTGTATCCCCAAATCTGAAGGCTTTCATGGCTCTCAGAGAAATGCTTCTCAATGCCTAGTCTCCTCTTCAGCTCTGTGGTGTAACACCAGCCGCCTCTAACTTCGCACATCTCTGAATGTGGAAATTAGCCTGGGTACTAGCAAGCTTTTTTTTTTTTTCTTCTTTCAATCCCCCAACTACTCTTGGATCTTCGCTCAATTAAACCCTTTTTCTGCATTTCCTCTGTTTAAAAGTAGTTTTTAAAAGAAGTAACTTCATGCTGGCTTGATTAGTCTAAGTCACTGGGAATCGCCCAGGCCTGGGAATACAGGCTTGCCATGGTTTACGCCAGGTACGGTGTCAAATGGTCTACATTTTCTTCAGCTCCAAGAGGAGGAGGTAATTTTATATTAGTTGAGATTTTGTTCCTTACTTTGTGATTTCTTCCACTGCTTATTCGGTTGTTTGTTCAGATTCTCTTTCAGCTGCTTCTGAGTTTTGAAAGTGGTACCTGGAAAACATTGCAGTTTTTGCAGTCTGGCATTATGGGAAGCTGTTCTGTCTGTCCACTTCAGTGCGAAAATTGTGGCATGAAAAAAGGCAATCCAAGACTGTGTAGTTTCTTTCATTTTCTTTTATTTTTATAAAAACAAAAACAGAAAACACCCACCAAATCTAAGAAGCTATTAAATAATGTAATTTAACAATTAATGGAACCTCCAGTTATGAAAAAGAATTGGCAGAGGCTTAAAATAACAATTACTTTTGAACATTTTGAACAAAACACAAACTTATATGAAGGATTCAATAGCTTCTTAGACGGTGTTCTTTTAAAAGTAAAATTCTAGTGAAATGATGATCATGGCAATCATTATCATCAACTTCTATTTTGTGATTTAATCACATAAATGTTACATGTAAGAACTAATGTACTTAAAACATATACACACACGAGAGAACACACACACACACACACACACACACACACACACACACACACACACACGTGCAAGAATAGATACTACAAATCTAAGTCAAATACAGCTTAGAGATTATCCAAGCATTCTCAGCACCAAACAACTTAAAGATGTGAAACCATGCCCCAACTTTTCCCAACAGTAAGAAGGCAAAGCAGTATTTATTAAACACAACCAATGAATAGTTTTAAATACTTAATGAAAGCAAATACAGGAAAATAACCAGATGACTATCATCACTTAACATGCTTGATGTTTTTAATCAGCACAGACAAAGATCCAACTACCTATCCCAGCCAATTCTATTTTCAGTCTAGATATTCACATTTTTATATATTTAATTTTAAACAAATAAGGCCAGATTCTCTCAACCGTTTAGTATTATATAACAGGACTAGATCTATGGATGGAGACAGAATTGTAAAGACTGACTTAAATTCTTTTAGGAAAGAAGAGGAACTTACTTAAAGCTTCTCTCAATGCCACAATCATGTCTTCTGGGTACACATTTCTATCTTCCCAGATTTTAAAGATTCGCTCTATTGACTTAGAGACAGATGGATCCCTGGAAGAAAAGTAAATATAGAAATGAGGACACACCCTCAAACTAGTAATCTGTGAATAAAGTTACCAACAACTTCCTATTATGCAGATTTCTTGTGTTATATATTTTTTAATTTTCAGAAACAATCTGCTTATTTCTTTTATGTGTTTTATCTGCATGTACACACATGTGCCATGTGCATGCCTGGCACCCCAGGAGGACAGAAGTAGGTGCTGGATATCTTGGAACTGAAGCTAGGGATGCTTGTGAGTCACCATGTGGGTGCTGGGAACCAAACCTGGGTCCTCTGGAAGACTAGCAAGTACTCTTAACTGAGCTAATTCTCTACCCGTGTGTATGCCTTTAAATATTTATTCCTACACTGTTTATTGTTAAGGAAAATTTCCTTATCCAACATTTTATCAATGACTAAAATGAGGTTACAGGTAATAAACCTTAAGATGCTTGTGAAATACAAAGAGCTAATCAACACCTGGCATTACAAAGGGAAAGATGAATCTAAAGAACTAAAAATATGGACTAGAAAGATGGCACAGCAGGGCTGGAGAGATGGCTCAGAGGTTAAGAGCACCGACTGCTCTTCCAGAGGGCCTGAGTTCAATTCCCAGCAACCACATGGTGGCTCAAAACCATCCCTTATGAGATCTGGTGACCTCTTCTGGTGTGCAGATATACATGGAAGCAGAATGTTGTATGCATAATAAATAAAATCTTTAAAAAAAAAAAGAAAGAAAGAAAGATGGCACAGCTATTAAGACTATGCACTGCTTTTGCAGAGACCCCTGGGGCAGCTTAAAATTGCCAGTAACTACAGCTCCAGGGATCCACACCATCTTCTGGCCTTTAGGACACCCCACACATGTAGCATATACTCACATAGACACTTACATGGAGAGGGGAAAAAGGGGGTATTTATTTTTGTTTTTTGAGACAGGGTCTCAACTCTGTATCCTTGGCTGGCCTGTAACTCGATATGTAGACCAGGCTGGCCTTGAATTGAAGAGAGCCACCTCTGCCTCCCAAATGCAGGGATTAAAGTACATACTACCACCGTCAAGCATTTAATGCCAGCACTCAGGATGAAGAGGCAGGTCAATCTCTATGAGTTTAAGTCCAGTCTGGTTTACAGAGTGAGTGCCAGAAGAGGCTCCAAAGTTATACAGAGAAACCGTGTCTCAAAAAAAACAGACAAAAACAACAACAATGTAAAAAACGTACATATCACCATGTTTGGCATAAAAAGAAATTTGAGTTGGATATTGTCAACACACACTTTTAATCCCATCACTTGGGAGGCAGAGGCAGGTGGTTCTCTGTGAGTTTGAGGCCAGCCTGTTCTACATAGTGAGTTCTAGATCATCCAGGGTTATACATAGAAACCCTGTCTCAAAACAAACAAATGAATAAAAACCAGAACAACCCCCCAAGAGGAAAGAAAAATTAAAAAACAATTCTGTTTTAAGGAAGAGCTTGATAAAAAAAAAAGCAAAAATGGCCAGGCAGTGGTGGCGTGAACCTTTAGTCCCAGCACTTGGGAGGCAGAGGCAGAGGCAGAGGCAGAGGCAGAGGCAGAGGCAGAGGCAGAGGCAGGTGGATCTCTGTGAGTTTGAGGCCAGCCTGGTCCCCAGAGCAAGTTCCAGGACAGCCAGAGCTACACACAGAGATACCCTATCTCAAAAAACAAAAGAAAACAGCAAAACTCAATGGAGTTATGGTGGGGTGGTCCTGGTAATGCCAGCATAGGGGAGGCTGGGACATAAGGACCTTGAGTGTGAGATCATGCTGACCACTGCAAGAACCCACCAAGCCTGATGAACTGAGCTCTACCCATGGAACCCACATGGTGAAATGAGAATTAACTCCTGAAAACTGTCATCTTATCTGACCTCTACATGTATGCTATGGGATATGTACACACATACACAAGTAAATGTAATAATAAAACAAAAACAAAACAAATGGTGCCACAGAGAGTTGAGCAGTTAAAAGCACTTATTGCTTTTGCAGAGGGCCTAGTTCAGTTCCTTTCACCCATACGGAGCTTACAATTGCCTGCACTTTCAGCCCTAGAGGATCTGATGACCTCTCTAGCCTCCACTACCACCAGGAATGCATGTGGGGTGAGTGTGTATGTGTATGTGTATGTGTGCATGTACAGGAGCACGTAACATTCATATGCATGAATAAAACTTTAACAAACCAAAACAAAGAATGGCAGGTAGCATAGTGACAAAGCACTGGCCTAGCAAGTGCTCATATGGAAGACTCTGACTTCCATACTCAGCACAAAACAAAACAGAATACAAAAACCAAAATAACTGCATTAGGAAATACTGGGTTTTCTTCTTTTTAAGGTTTATTGGGAAAAAAAACAAAAACAAAAAAAGCATCAATCAACTCCATACTACAGCACATGTTCTAAGAAGAGGATTCCACCCCTAAAAAAGAAGAATCAATGAGCTACACCTGGTGGTATATGCCTACAACATCAGCAACCAGGATGCTCATTTCCACTTAAAGGCTAGTCTGGGGTACATAGCAAGACTATGCCTTTAAAAACAAAACATGGGCTAAGCATGGTGGTACACACCTTTAATCCTAGCACCACAGAGGTTCAAAGCCAGCTTGTTCTATAGAGTGAGTTCCAGGACAGCCAGAGCCATGTGGAGAGACTGTCTCAGAAAAACAAAACACACAACCACAAAATAAAAATCCAAAAGAAAAAAAGAGAGAGAAAAAGATAGGGTAGAGTAGGAAGAAGGAAAGAGAAAAGGAGGGGTCAAATTGGTATGATCTCAAAACTTAAAATAAGGACAAAAGAATGAGAGAATATTCTAACATTCTAATATATTCATCAAAAGACAAAGTAGAACCATAACTTTTTTGTTTTGTTTTGATTTTTGAAAGATTTTATTTATTTATTATGTATACAGTCTTTTGCCTGCATTCGGACTAGGCCAGGCAGTGATGCTTGTTTTGTTTTTTGAGACAGGGTTTTTTTTTTGTAGCTTTGGAGGCTGTCTGGAACTCCCTCTGTAGACTAGGCTGGCCTCGAACTCACAGAGATCCACCTGTCTCTGCCTCCCAAGTGCTGGGATTAAAGACATGCGCCACCACGGCCCTGCAAGAACCATAACTTTTTAAGCAAATCTATCAAACTATATGGACACTAAAGTGTAAGATTAAAAAACTGCAGTTTTTTTGTTTGCTTTTCAAGACAGGCTATCTCTGTGTAGCCCTGGCTATCCTGGAACTCTCTCTGTGGACAAGGCTGGCCTCAAAATCACAAGAGATTTCCCCCTGCTTCTACATCCCAAGTGCTGATTATATTCAACTTTTATAAAACTCTAACTCTGATGTTTTCTAAAGGTTTATTAACTGGAACAGACAGACATATTTTATTTCTTCTCATATTTTTATGCTGAGATTCTTCCATTGCTTAAAAAATGTGTAAACTGGCCGGGCGTTAGGGGCCAGTGAGTTTGAGGCCAGCTTGGTCTCCAGAATAGGCTTCAAAACTACACAGAGAAACCCTCTCTCGGGGAAAAAAAAAAAAATGTGTAAACTGAAGAACACTAAAAATTAAACTACAAATGAGCACAGAGAAAGAAATGAAAAATAGAAATCCCCACACCTTGCTTTGCTTTTTTGAGACAAGGACTCATTGTGTAGCCCTGATGGCCTCAAATTCAAGAGATCTGCCTGACTCTGTTCCCCAGGTGCTGGAATTAAAGAACATGCCACTACTCCTGACCATGAACAAAATAGTTTATTTGGATATTGAAATATGCACAATTATTCAAGTCCTTGCTAATGGGGGCGGGGGAAAGAAAAATTTGAATTTTCTTAAATCCCAAAGCACAGTAAGGATTTACTTACTTCACCAGAGCAGCCGCTTCGGGAAGGACATCAGCAAACGATTCACGGAATATGATTGCATTTTTCCTTTTACAATTCTGTATGACGTCATTGGCAAGGTAAAAGAGATTCAAACGGTGGGGATATGTAGCTAGAGATGAAAGACAAAAAAATTACTTTATACTTAGTACAACCTATTCCAAATATATTGTTTTCAAACAGCTAACGTTTTTAAAATTACTTTTTATTATTTTAAGCTTATGGGTGTTTTGCCTGCTTGTGTATCACATGCATACAGTACCCATGGAGACCAGTAGAGGGCATCAGAACAGCCAGTGCTCCCAACCTGTGAGCATCTCACCAGCTCCAATTAACTGTTTTTATATGAACTAACTAATTATATGGATGGAATGGTGAATAAACAATTAAGTAATGGATTAATTTATCAAATGTACTAAAACCCTAAACCATTTGAGGTTAAATTTCTGTTCAAGGAACTCTTCAAGTACATTATCTCACTCTGCAGATGTTTGGCACTAAATCCTTTAGTGGCTTTAGAGAGGCCAAGACAAAATAAAATTGTTTCTCTAAATATTTGGGGCGGAGGGGGGGGGAGGGAGATGAATAAACTCAGACTGTTACAAAAGTACAAGTTCTATTTACTGGCTGAAGATATTTTAATTATCTGAGTGTTCTGGGGGTAATCTGACTCCATAGATGCATGAGTTAAGCTTTTCAAAGGCTCAACCTACCTAAGGTTCACTGTCATGTGCTAGGCAATTCCAATATTTGCATAGATGACCCATGTTTCTATGATTCCGAAGGTTTCTCAATCCCAAATTCAGTAACTTCTGAGATCTCCCCATACCCCTTTCTCTTTTTATATTCTCTATTTCCACTATACTGGTCTACAATTTCAGACATCAGTTCATTTTCTAACTCCTCAAACTCTTTCAGAATTCACTTACTTCTGTTAATTCCAGAGTATCTGATACATTATTTAAATTTAAATAAATAATAATAACTAAATAAATTTAAATAAATATTTAAAATTAAATTTAAATTATCAAATCCCTCATTTTCTTTTCCTTCTCTACCTAATTTAGTTTTCTACAACATGCATTCAACAAAATCCTAAATTTGGATTATTCTACAAGAATGCTTTTACTGTACCTTTCTTTGCTGTTTTTTTTTAAGATTAGATTTATTCATTTTATTTGTGTTTGGCCTGTATGTATACATGTGCATCATCTCTCCAGCCCCTTCTTTTCTCTTCCTTCCCTCCCTCTCTCCCTCCCTCCCTCTCCAAGGTGTGGTGGTTTGAATGAGAATGGCCCCCATAGGCTCATATATTTGAATGCTTAGTCACCAGGGAATAGAAATCTTTGTAGGATTAGAGGATTTTGGAGGTGTGGCCTTGTTGGAGGAAGTGTGTCAAATGGGGGCAGGCTCTGAGGTTTCAAAAGCCAACTCCAGGCCCAGTCAGAGTCAGTCTCTCTGTCTCCCCTGTGGAACAGGATGTACTTCTCAGCTAATTCATGACCACTCCTTCCGGCCAGCCACCACGCTCCTCCCTGCCATAATGATAATGGACCATGCATCTGACACTAAACAAGCCTTCAAATGCTTTTTTTTTTTTTTATAAGAATTGCCTTTATCGTAGTTTTTTTCACAGCAATCAAACAGTGACTGAGACACAAGGTCTCACTCGATCTATGAGCCTGGGATTTGGAGGGTGGACCAGGCTGGCTTCAAACTCTGGAAATCTGCCTGCCTCTACCTCCAGAGTTCTTTTCTGTTTTTGAGGTAGAGTCTTGTATAGCTCAAGCCAGTCACAAATCCCTGATCCTCTGGACTCCACCTCCCAAAACTGACATTGCGGGTGTGTGCTACCAAGCTTTTGCTGCACCTTAATTCTGCTGTTAGAGTCTACTTTAGGGAAAGTATACCAAGAAGGGGAGTAAAGTCCTCTGAGCTCAATTCCCTTCCTCAACTGGACCCTAGGGTTAACAATGCCTCCTCATGATCTTCAACATTTGCTCTAAGACGGTATTCCACAATATACCATGCATCGTACCCTCTACAGTACTACAGCTCTCTCAGTCTTAGGAGATAAGCATACACAATATTTTTATAAACAAAGTAGAAACCATTAAATGAGAATTATCTTCTCTTAAAACACAAGAAGCATCCCGATCTCATTACCCAGAGGAATTCTGACACTCTCAGTGGAAGCCTGAGACGCTGAACAACTAAAAAGTTCAAAACAAAGACAGACAAGCGGCAGCAACAACCCCAACCACCAAATCAAAAAATAAAACACTGATCCAGGGGTGGTGGCATATGCCTGCACTCCCAGGCCTAGCGAGTGAGGAAACAAAGGCAGGAAGACTAAGGTTTCAGGGTCATCCTAGTGTTAAATAGCAAGTTTGAGGTTATCCTGGGACATATAAGACCCTGTCTCGAAACAACAAAACTCCTAAAATACTAATAACTGGAGAACACAGGAGTTCTCTGTAATAGTCTTAAAGTGTTTTTGAAATTTGAAATTTAAACTCTTGGATTACAGGTATGATCTTAATTTCAAACTTCAAAATTAACTTACCAATATGACATATTTGATTTATTTTTTACCTGTCTTGCCTTTTCTCAAGAACTTTAAGCCTCTAAAACTGGATTAGAGGTATAGTTCCATGGTAAAATAGCTAAACTAAGAGTGATGAACGGGGCAGTGGTGGTGCATGCCTTTAATCCCAACACTGAGGCAGAGGTGGGTATCACTGGGAGTTCAAGGCCAACCTGACCTAAATAGGACGCTCCAAGGCAGCCAGGACTTAGACCTGTCTCAAAAAGAAAAAGAAAAGGGAAATCAAGATTACTCAGATTCCCTGGGGTTTGATTGGGAGGATTGTTTCCTAGCCTAATCCCTAAGAGAGCAAGGATTTTGCGAGTTTTACTTACTGCTGGATTCTAATCAGTTTTCCATATCTATTTTTTTGTTTGTTTTACTTTTTGAGCCAAGGGTCTTACTAAATTAGCTCAGGCTGTCCTTGAACCGTTGCAAATGCAAGAATTGCAGGCCTCCCCCTGCATCCATGTACGGGGGTGGGGGGTGGGGTCTTGCTCCTATGAGGCAAGTAATCTACCAATAACACCCTAAACTAACCCTTTCAAAATTTTTTTAAAAGTCTTGAGATATAGTCTCTAAATTTCCCAGTCTATCCCATAAATTTGGGATTGTCCTAGTTCAGCCTCCAGAGTGTGCCACCATACTTAAGTTCCTATTTCTTTTTAAGATTTTATTTATTTATTATATATACAACATTCTGCTTCCACGTATATGTGCACACCAGAAGAGGGCACCAGATCTCATAACAAATGGTTGTGAGCCACCATGTGGTTGCTGGGAATTGAACTCAGGACCTCTGAAAGAGCAGTCAGTGCTCTTAACCTCTGAGCCATCTCTCCAGCCCCCAGTTCCCAGTTCCCAGTTCCCAAATGAAGGAAAAATGAGAAGAAAAATTCAGAGGAAAAGAAAAGGAAAACAATGAGTAGCCTTAATTTATCTTGGTTAGTCACCCTCTAAGGCTTCTGATATGACAGCATAGGTTAGACAGACAGGGCCTAGACCCTGTCTAACATAAGGAGGCTATAAAAGAAATGAATCCAGACAGAGTCATTGTTGCAAAATTAACCCCTCAACATGCTCAAGCTAAGCGCTCAAGTTTTTATTTTTTAGTTTTTTAAATCACTATGGAGAAGAAAGAGGCTAACAGGAAAATGCGGGCTATTCATTTTGTTTAAGATAGAGTCTCTCTCATACCATCCAAGCTGGCCTCAATTTGTTATGCATTTTAAGGATGACCTTGAGCTGAACCTCATGCCTCTCACCTCCCTAAGTGTGATTACAGGTGTGTACCAACCTGCCCAGTTTTATGAGGTTGTGGGAATCAAATCCAGGGCTTTGTGAAGCACCCTAAGCAAGCACTATCAAATGAACTACATTTCCAGCTGCTGGATTGCTGATCTAAATGTAGTAATATAAAAATAAAACTGTTAACCTGGTAGCAGAAAAACTAGGTAAATTTAACGATAATATTAATATTTTATGTCTACTTGTCAAAGATGTTCAGGGGCAAAACCAAAAGATGGCTCAGCAGCTAAGGACAATTGCTCCTTTTCTAGAAGACCAAGGTTCACAACTGTTTGTGACTAAGGGTTCTCTTATAACCATACTTTGAGTACTGCAGGCACGGGGTACATACATATATTCAGGCACTTACACAAACACAGTAAATAAATAAATATTAAAAATAAAAGGTTAATCGAGGGCTGGATGGTTCCTTGGTTAAGAGCACTAGCTGTTTTTACAGAGGACCAGAATTGGGTTCCCAGGACTCACACAGCCCTAGGGGATCTGATGCCCTATTCTGGCTTCTGTAAACACAAACATGGTACACAGACCTATATGCAGGCAAAACACTCATACACATATAATAATAATAATAATAATAATAATAATAATAATAATAATAGTAAATTTTAAATGGTCAAGGACAAAGGCAATTAAACAGAAAAAAATCTGGGACCATAGAGAAATGCTAAAAAAGAAATGGAAAAACAAGTATCTTTATAAAGACAAAGAGACAGAACAAGTAGAAAGTACAATTTTTCCTAAATTTGTTGGTGTTCCAACAAATACTTAGAAAATTTAACTGTTTACTTGTTGAATGAATGCAATGTTATCAATTATATTTTATAGACTCATATTTCTTAGCAAGGTTTTTATGGGAAAAAAAAGCTGGGTGTATTGACATATGCGTTTAGTCTTAGCACTTGGGAGGCAGAGACTCAAATGGACCTCTGTGAGTTCAAGGCCAGCATGATCTTCATAGTGAGTTCTAGGACAGCCAAAGCTACAAAAAGAGACCCTGTCTTGACAATGAATAAATATTGTGGATATTGTAATTAGCAAACAATTTCAGATACTTTCAAGTCCAATTTCATCTTAGGTCATACTTACAGAACCTAAGTCCTTAGTAAGTTGATTTTAATATACACTGAAAAGGAGAACCATATCCAACCTAAAATTCCAAGTAGTCTAAATTATATAAGACACCATCAGTCCAGGGGCCATGGAGATGGTTCATT